CTGCCGCTCTCTGCTTGTGTCTTCCAGTATCCTGACAAGGCGCCCGAAATCGCCATCAGGAACCCGCGCGGGCTCTCAGATGAGCAAATTCAGAAGTGAGTCCTGGGACAGAGGAGAAGGGAGAGGGTGAAATCTGCACTGGAGGGAGGGCAAAGAGACAGCGGGCTGCATGGCAGCGCTTGGAAAGGCTTCTCCCGAGTTCTTGTGGATTCCTTTCACTGTTGTCTGTAGAAAAATGTAATGCAAATCTCTTGGGCTTCAAAGGTGTTGGTCCTGCTTTAGCTGAGATGGGACTGGAGTAAGTGCCGGTGCTCGGGCAGCCTCTCGTTGCCTTGTGCTTCTGTCCTTAGTGCGGTGTGATGTGTGTAGAGACAGCCCGATGCCCTCTGGCAGCTCAGGGTCCTGGCAGAACTGCTGTAAGGGTTGCTGTGTCAGAAAATGAAGCCTACATTTTCAAATGAATTACTGAAATGAATTTCCAAAACCGAAGGGCTTCTGGGCAAGCTCAAGCCAGGGTGGTCTGTGAACCTGCCCTTGCGTCTCCACAAGGACAAAATTCTCATGGGCACTGGCTTGTGAGGTGCTATAAAAGCACATGAATGCACATGTGTACTTGTCCAGTGCTTGTGGGAGAGCACATACCTATGTCTAACATGCACTAAGTGTTTCATCTTTGCTGTAGGATTTCGCAGACCCTGGGACATGTTGCTGAAGCCAGACTGGGAACAGAGGTGCTCTATGAACTGATTGAGGTGAGAGTTAGGGCAGCTGGGTGGGTGTCCAGCCCTCAGCGCTGTCCTCCCTGGAGCAGCCCTGCAGGTGGGACAGCTTTGAGCCTGGGCCTGGGGAGGCCCCTGAGCGAAGTGTCTGCCCTTCTCCTCCCACAGAAGGGGAAGGAGATTCTCACTGACAACAACATTCCCCATGGCCAGTGCGTGATCTGCCTCTATGGATTCCAGGTAGGAAGGTGTATCTCAACCCTGCCACTCTGGTCTGTAGGCAATGTTATTTAGCAGATAACCCCTTCCACTGGGCTTCATCTCCTCCTCAGTTTTAGGATGGTATGTGGCTCAGTGCCACCAGTAATACTAGTTCCCTGCTTCCAGTGCTGATGCTGGAGTGGAAACCCATCTTGGCTGAGCAGGCTACACAACTCTGTGCTCAGAAACTCGTTAGAGCTGCTCTCTCTTCTGCAGGAGAGAGAAGCCTTCACAAAGACCCAGTGCTACCACTACTTCCACTCCCACTGCCTGGCCCGCTATGCCCAGCACATGGAAGAGGAGGTCCTCATGCAGCAGGAAGAGAGAGACCAGCACCTGGCACCTTCCTCAAAACAGGTATTAGGTGCTGGGCTTGCTCTCTTGCACAGACCCCCACAAATTCTGTGTCGCTGCTCTCGGGGACATGCAGCAAGAGCTAGTCAGCAGCCTTGTGCCACATGGTCGGTGTCATGCCTGTGGCCACAAATCAGAATGGGGAATGGATGAAGTGACTCCCAGGAGCCCTTTCCAGCCAAATATATTGGATGATTTTTAGTATTCAGCAATGAGTTTATTGGATTTCTGGAACAATTCTAAGTATATGAGGGACATTCTTAGAAATCTGGAGCCATAAGACTTGGGAACTTTTTCAGTTGAAAGGTGAGCTCCTTCCCTAATCCTCTAACTCCAGGGATTTGCAAAACTCCTGGTGGTGCAAGATAAACATGACCTCCAGCATTTGTAGCAGTCATCCAGGCCAGGCTGTTTTCACAGTGCTGTAATCTCCCTGCTGTGGACAGCTCATGGTCAGCTGAAAAAGGCCCCCTGGTTTCACCTCCAGGTGGGGGACTGTCTGGACGTGCATAGGCTGGGTCGGAGCCTGGGGTTGGGATGAACTGTGCCCTCCCTGCAGGCAGCCGGCGTGCAGTGCCCTGTCTGCCGGGAAACCCTCGTCTATGACCTGTGTGCCCTGAAGGCAGCGCCGCCGCCGCAGCAGCCGCTGGTAAGAGATGGGGTCTTGTCTGCCCAGCTGTGTCTGATCTCTGAGTAGCTTCACTTGGGGTGCTGAAATGACCAAATGAGCGTCTGCTGCAGCCCTTTGTATCTTCCCAGACAGTGCAGCCAAAGGATAGGTCACAAAATGTAGCAGGGCTTTTCCTGTCTGGCTGGCATGTCCCCAAAGAGCAGGTTTAGCTGTTCAGCCCTGAGATTTCTTCCTCTAAACTGAAATATGAGATAATGCATCCCATGTTCTTCAGGTACAGATGTGTGCAGAAAAGATGTGTCTGTGCACAGCCAGCAAGCTCTGGGAAGGGAGCCTGTTGCCTGGACCTGTTCATGTGCCATAACAGTAACTCTATAAAAACAAACAAGAGCACAAACTCTATCTCATGCCCTCATCTTGGAGCGGGTCACTGAGTCCTGCTGTGGAGAGGAGTCTTGCCATAGAGAATCCAGCTTCGAGGATGATAGGACAGAGGAAAGGAAAGAGCTGTGGTTAAATCTGCCTCTGTAGGTTAACACTTTATTGTGGGAAAGAGGCAAAGATGGGTAGTGTCATTGGCCCTGACCCTGTGCTGAGCAGCAGGCAGTTCTGCCATGGGGCTGGGAGTGCCTGCGTGGAACCTCTTTGTTGCCCTCTGTCCTCTAAGGGAATAATCGTAGCTTTCCTTGAACATGTTCCTGCACACACTGGGGTCATGTGAGGGACCCTGGCTCATACAGGGTGCTCTGTGGTCCTGATGCAGCTGCTGTGTTGGGAGCATCTCGCTCCAAAGGAGGAGCCTCAGGGTAGTGGGTCCATGTGGGCATGTTCTGCCTCCACCTAGGGCTTCACCAGGTCTGCAGACCTGCCCGATAGTGCATGGGGAACGGGCACGCGTTGCCCAGGTGCTGTGTGACCAGAGCTGGGTTGGGGGGTCTCTGCTAGTGCTGCCAGCTGCCCACCCACACTGCTGCTCTCTGGTGCTCAGGAGCCGTACAGGCCAGATGCCAGGACCCTGCAGCACCAAGAGGAACTGCGCTTAATCTTCAAGAGACAGCAAGAGAGGGGTGGCATTATCGACCCTGAAGCCGAGAGGAACCGTTTCTTCATCAGCCTCCAGGCGGTATGGCACTGGGGGCAGAGCATCTCCGTGCTGACAAGGGGGTCCCTGGGCTGCCAGGCCCAGTGCCATCATCTGCTCTAGGGCTCTCCTGTCCCTTTCTTCAGCGCTGGCTTCTTTCTTTCAGCCTCCAGCTGCTGCTGAGTCAGGCGAAGCAGCCCCTGCTTCTGAGCCACTACAATCTGCAAGTGCTGTGGATTCACCTCGGGCACCGTGTCAGCCCTCAGCTCCAGAGCCAGCCGGGCCTCTGGAGGCCAGGGAAGAAGCCAGGCAGCCCGAGAGTCCGGCTGTGCCCACGGAGCACCAGAGCAAGCGAGAGAGGCACAGAGGCGAGAGGCTGGGCCTCAGGGGCCGGGGCCGGCAGCTGTGCAGCGATGCGCAGGGAGCCGCAGAGGAACCCTGTCATCCCCCACACGGCTCCAGGGGCTCCAAGGGCTTCGGCCGGAGATCAGAGAGGAGCCAAAGAGCTGGTGGGAGGCATAGCCAAGAGTTTCTGAAACCTCCCAGCAGAAACAGGGCTGCAGCCCCGGCTGAAAGGAAGGAGTTGAGTCCTGAAGACCCCTCACCAGTAACTGGGATGTTGGACTTGAAAGAGGATTACCCTGATGTGAGGAGATGGACCCCAGAGCAGGAGGCTGAGGTCCGGGGTGATGAGGAGAACCCGGCACTCAACCGCAGCAAGCACCGAGGAGCTCCCGGCTGGCAGGGCCACCACAGGCCCTGGGATTGTGGAAGGTGGGAGAGGTCCCGGGCGCAGGAGCCTGGCGCCTACCCCAGGGCGCCAAGAGGCCGAGGGGCGCTCAGGCCTGGGGTGCGTCGAGAAGCCCCTCACCTTGAAAAGGAGAGCGGCTCCTAGCAGGACTGCGGAGGGCTGGGCTGGGGGAGGGAAGGGCTATTTGGGCAGAGGTTGAAGGTTCTGGCAGAGAAGTGGTGAGCAGACACCATGCCCCTGGGAAAGGAGGATGTGCACTGCAGAGCTTGGAGGCAGCTGGCATGGGGCACAGTTTGGGCAAGGAAGTGTCCCTAGGGCACATGTGTAGAGAGAAGCATCCTAGCGTGGCTGCCTGGCAGGAGCCATCACCGGTACCAGAGAAGGGGCCTTCCAGCAGTCACAGCAGCCTTGGTCTCGGGGAATGCAGAGGCAGGGGAAGCCTTGACCAGGGACCATTACCCACCTTGAATGAGGTGCCAAAAACTTCAGTGCCTGCAGAGCATATGCACCCCAGCACGGTGCCACAGCAGAGCCAGAGTTAAGGTGGGAATTCCCTGGAATTGAGCATCCCTGCAGAGCATGATGGTACCAGGCACTAAGGCTGTGCTAGGCCACAGTCTAGACCTCAGCTTGCTGCATTCTCAAATGATTTGGAGAGCATCTTCTCGCCCTGCTGTTCCCTGGAGACAACATTGCCGTTTCCCTGGCCCTGACCTCTGCTCTGCTTCTGCAGGGTCCTTCAGTTGCCTTTGCAGGCAGTGGCTGCGTTGGAGAGGCTTGGGAAAGCTTTCTGCTCTGTGTCCTGTATACTTGTTAAGATCCTTTTCTAAGTCTAGGCTGTTTTGGAGCTCACAGAGGTCCAGAGTGAAGACAGATCCCAGTACTTAGAATTTTCTTACCTCCATTCACCTTCCCTTCATGCTGCTTTTGCTTTAAAGAAATGGGATGAGGACTTGCTTTTTATACTAACATGTCCCTGGTGCAGTTCCTTCTACTGATGCTTCATGTGTTTAAGCCATGTCCCACTGAAGAAACATGACAGAAAATCCAAGTCCCTTGCATAAACCAAATCCCTTCTTGCATAAACAGGGTGCAAAAGCCTTTCCTTGGACGGCTCCTCCTGCCTGCCTGCTCTGCTCTCTTCCCTCTCAGCCTTTTCCTGATGATGCTCGTCTAACTTGCTGTCGAGCATTGGTTGCTTTTTCATTTTTTTTTTTTTCTAAGGAGCTTCTTTCTTTCCTTCTCCAGTCTGAGCCTATAGTGCCCATCCTGGGCTCGGGGATCTGAGAGCCAGACTGCCCTGTTGGGGAGCAGTGCTGAACGCCCTGGCGCTGCCTCCCTGAAACGCGCCCTCGTCTCCATCCTTCAGTGCTTGCTCTGCTCCAGCCTGTTGGTGGGTGCAAAGGAGAGGTGTAAACTTTAACTGACACTGGTGCTGTTCTGCTGCCTTCTGCCATTACCGGTGGAATTCCTGTGCTCCCAAAAAATAGGTTTGATTGTTTGCTTTAGGACATAGAGATCTCTGCCCTTTGCAACAGCTGTAGCTAAACCTCCCTTGCTTCCTCCAGAGAGCTGGATTCGGTCTGTTCTCAGCTGGAAAGCTGTCGTGCCATGAGCATGGGAGCAGGGGAGGACAGCCCTGGAAATCCCATGGAATTTCCGCTCAAATTCAGCAAGCGGGAACTTGGGTAATTGCAAACAAATGCCAAACTTGTTAGTGGGGAGGGGGATACTTCTGCGTGTTGGGATTTGGGAAGGGCCTTCTCCTTTCTGACTTGCTGCTGGCAGCCTGGAGCAGAGGAAATCTCAGAGCTGTGCAGAAAGAAATCAGGGTTCAACAAAACAAGCCCCAGGTGTTGTGGGATGCATGGAGGCTGGATGAGGCCTCATCACAGCCCCACGTGTTCCCTCCCACAGCCAGGAGTGGCAGAGAGCTCTGGAAGGAGCCTGTGCCTGACTCCTTTGCCTGTGCTTGGCTGGGTGGGGATTTGGGGTAGGGGAGGAATAGGAGGTGTCTTGGTGTCTGCCTGGGCCCAGCTGCCAGGGCTGCTGCACAGCGGGGCTGGCACAAGCGCTCAGAGGTGCAGGGCAGTGAGGCAAGGCTGCTGGCTGTAGCATTAACACTATTAAAAGCAAAGCAGAGTGACCGATGCTGCTGCCTGTGCTCTTGTGTGGTGGCAGGGGCCTGCGGGGTCTGCGTGCCTGTCTTCTTCACATCCCCATCTGCCTGACCCTGAGGAGCTGCCACGGGCCCTCGTCCGTGTCCCCCAACCTTTCTTGGTGGTGACAACCAGCCTGGGGGTAACAGTGTAGGCCTGTGCCCCCCTGTGAGCTGCCACCAAAGGACCCCAGGCTGGCACCGGGCACAGCTGGAAGCACCAGCCCCTCCACATGCCCCGGGCTGCTGCAGACAGACTGCTTTGGACCTGCAGCCTGGCACAGAAGGCCCTGCACAGGCGGGTACAGGGCCAGGGCGGCACCAGGGCCCTGCCCAGAGCCAGGACAGAGGCTCCCAGTCCCCACTCCTGGCCCAGGTGGCACCTCCTGGGCGAGCGCTGCCTCTGCCCTACAGACCTTGCTTGGCTCCAGCTCCCTGGGACGTGGCAGCAACGCTACTGCCCTGAGCACCGAAACCCAGCCCTGCCAAGTGAGGTGAAAGGATTTTGAAACAGGAGAGGAGACACTCTTCCCACATGAGAGGCGTGCACAGATCCGCCCCCCCCAAGCTCTGTGGTGCTGAGGAGGAGCTGCAGAGCCTGCCTGGATAAGGCCTCCCCTCCCAGCTTGTATTTCAAAGCCCCAGGTCTTCCCCCTGCCCCAACCTCCTCTTGAGGAGCTACTAGCTCACCGTGGAGGGATGAGCATCCATACAGCTGCACCCCTTGCTACCACAGGCAGCAGCATGAGAGAGAACAAGCCAGCTCTTGGGAGTTGTTTTCCTGGATCAGCTCTGGATTGGCAGTACCAGCTGTGCCAGACCCTCCCTTGCCTTAGGCACAGCAGAGTTTGAGGCTCACAGACTTTGCTCAGCTAGGATATCCCCGAGAAGTACCGGGAGCTGCACTGCTCCCCTACCTGTCAAAGCTGGAAAGGTCTTTGGGCCACGATCTGAACCGTGAAGCAACTAACAAGCAAAGGGACAAGATCGTCACATACACACAAGCAGACAGGACACAAGACAAAAGAGCCATGTTGTACCCTTCCCAGGGGTCATTTCACAAGACAGTGAAGACAGTTCTGCCAAAGGCTGCTCTGAACAGATCTGCAGTTCTCTTCAGCACAGCAGCCCTGCAATGCTGCTGCCTCGGAAAGTGCCAAAGGGGCCCATGTGCCCAGAAATGATGGCAATCCCAGTGCAAGGCGCTCCAGCAAGTGGGGCCAGCACCCAGGTCAGGGAGCAGGTAGAGCCGATGCCCTTACCCTGCGGCAGGACTGGCAGCAGCAGCTCTCTGCACGCTTTAATAAAAAACCAAGGCCTTGGTGAGGTAGACATGAAGGAAAGGCCGGGCCTGGGTACCTGGGCAGCTGCACAGCATCCTCAGGACGGCCAGGTCCTTGCGCCAGCAATTCCCAGGTCTCACAGAGTGGCGGGACAGGGCTCATCCCTTGTCACTGCAGAATGGAGCGTATATTGTCAATGGCTCCTCTGGGGTCTGACTTGTAGAGCATGAAGTGGCCCTGCACCTGGGCAGCACTGATTTGCTCTGAGGCTGCCAGCGCCTGCTCTGCAAAGCGCTCGGCGGCGGCCGGGGCCTGCTCCGGGTAGAAGCGCTGGAACATGCGGGAGAGCTGCCAGCGGGAGCAGTGCCCCACGTACTGCTTGAGGTCCACGCGCCCGGGCCGCACCAGCGCCGGGTCCAGCCTGGCGAGAAACAGGAGTGAGAGAGAACCTCCCAGGAAGCCCATGGAAAAGGCTCCAAAAGAGCAAGTTTTCTCCATGCCGCCTTTTCCCCTGCCCCCAGGAGGGCAGCTCTGACCTGTCCACGTAGTTGGTGGTCATGAAGACAATCCTGGCCTCTGTGGAGGCCACACCATCCAGGGCGTTGAGGAGGCCACTGAAGGTCAGGCGCCCCATGCCTTGGTACACAGCAGGGTCTGGGGACAAAGATCTCTCAGATCCCATCTAGCAGCCACTCACCCAGGGCGGTCTCATGGGCCACCTCCCTGCAGCCTGAAGCTCAGCACAGCTTGCCAAAATGTCTGCCTGGCTGCTCCCACCTTAAACCAAGTTCTCTGCTCTCTCCCTCCCCTCGGCAAATCCCTCTGCCTCTCCCTGTCTGAGAGCCCATACACTTCCCTTGTCCACAGGGACACCAGGGAATCCCAAAGTCCCCTCTGCTGAAATATCTCATGCTAAGAGCTCGGCAAGACAAATGCCTTTGCCTGAGGTATTACTAGGAGCCCCAAAGCTCTTCTTATACCGCCCAGCCAAAACCAAGTGAGGTCCAGTTTGGGTGACAAGGAGCTAAGACAACTGCCCACTCCTGATCTCTGCTGAGCTGGGCGCCAGGGAGCTGGCAGAGCTGCAAGGAGCGCAGAGGCTGAACCCCCTCCCAGCAGAGCCGCTGTCCCGGGCGCAGGCCCCGCTCACTCTCGGCAGCGAGGTCCCGACTGACGAAGGCAGCGTCCACGTCCTCCAGCAGGATGATGCTCTGCTGCGGGGCCACGCTCAGGAGGTGGTTGAGGCGGTCATCGGAGAGGCTGCGGTCGCTGAGGCTCAGCAGGCAGATGCTGTACTGCAGCTCCCCGGCCAGCGCGGTGCTGCGACACCCCGCAGCGTGAGCGGTGGTAGTGGTGCCAGCAGCACACACACTCGTGCCAGGCTCGCGCAGGAGACGGCCCTGGCATCGCATTGCTGCGGTGTGAAGCCAAACCCATCCACACATCCCCAACAGCAGAGCCCACAGGAAAGCCCCTGTTACCTGTCAGTAACACTCACATGAAGCTGCTCTTCCCACAGCCAGGCGGGCCGTACAGCAGGTAGCCTCTCCGGTATGGGATCCCTAGGAAGACAGGGTCCTTCTAGGAACCAGCACAAGGCCTCAAACACAGCCCCTCCAACTGTCCCCCACAAAGGTGACAACTGCAAGCAAGGAACCTGGACTGTTAGCATGGGTTGTTCTGTGCCGGCAGTGATGTGGTTTCCATGAACCATGTTTTGGGGAACACTCCTTCAAATGGATGTAGTAATTGCATTAACTGCAGCAACAAACTACTCAGTGTCCATCACTGAGGCTTATCTGCCCACACAGACCTAAGGCACCAGCATCAACTAAGAACAGAACAACAGCTGCAAGAAGGACAAAGAAAATCACTCTGCAACTGTTCCCAGGGGGGACCTCTGGCACCCTGCCTCTCCCCACAGGAGCAGCATAGGAGCAGTGACCTCCACCGCTCATCGTGACACCTGGGAGTGGAGGCTGGACAATTTGCTCCAGAAAAGCTTCCCCCTAAGAAGCTGTTTAATTGCTACATGCAGCCGGAGGCCCAAAGAGCTGGAGGAAGTTCTGTGCCCAGGCTCAGACACACAGCTACAAAGCAGCGAGGCTGCGGAAACCCAGTCCTGAGCTGCAGCAAAGACAAGACAAAGCATCCTCTCACCTGGACAGGACGGGGCCACGGGACAGGGCAGAACGCGGGGCATGGGCAGCACTTCTGGATCTTAACTGTATGTCTGAGGCCTGACCCCACCGAGCTGAGAGGAACCTGTCGCTTTGCAGGCGCAGGCCTGAGCTCCGCAGCTCGGCCCTTAGCCAGCGAGACGGCTCCCCGCAGCCGAGGGGCGCAGGGGGCCGGGGGGCCGCGCCGCGCAGGGCCTTGCCTCGCTCGCTGTACCACTGCGGGTTCTCGATGAACTCCCTGACGTCCTGCAGCAGCCTCTCCGACACCCCCTCGTCCAGCACCACGGAGCGCAGCGGGCGGCGGCGGCGGGGGAAGCCGAACTGCCGCCACTCCGCTCCCATGGCCGTGTACATGACGGTCCTGCCCTCCTGCTGCTGCAGAGCCAGCGCCCGGGCTGCAGAGACAGGCACAGGGGGTGGCTGGCAAGGAGAGGCATCTCCTGCAGACCAGACTGGCCCCACACAGCTGCCCTACAGACCTTCCTGGAGGATGTTGAAGAAGATCTCCCGGTTGGTGCCCAACGCAGTGAAGGTGACGGATTCCCAAGGGGTCCCAGTGTGCAGGTCAATCATCTGTTTCTCCCGGTTGCGCTCAATGCGAATCCACTTCCTCCGGTACCTGGAGCAGGAAGATGTTTGTGGAAGCTGGGCCGGAGCAGCCCCAGGTCCCCCTCTGCTCAGCTGAGTGTCAGTTTCAGCTGCTGCTTTTCACTTCCCAGCCACATGGGCCAGGACTGTTCCCCTTGTCACCAAAGCAGGCATGGCAGGGGACAGGCTCAGCAAGGGGGTCTCAGAACCGCTGTGTCCCATGCTTGGCACACAGTACTGGCTACATCCAAGGATCTGCTGCTGCTCAGCTGCTTTCAGAGTGAGGCCACAGCTTTGATCGCATCTCAAGGGGCACATTCATCCCAGGTAAAGGGATCAGTTCGCCCCAGTGAATACTAGCTTCTCATCTTCTGCCCTAGTCTGGACGCAGGACAGAGGTAGCACTCTCCCTGTTGCCTCCACAGGCCCCACAGATTGGAGCTTTCTTGACGAAACACTGGCCAGACCCCAGGCTGCTTTTCCTTCTTCCTCTGCCCTCCCTTACCAGATGAAATGGTTCCCAGGGCTGGGGACGAAGTCGAACTTGGTGCTGACGCGGCCACTCTCATGCTGCAGGTAGGATGTCTCCACGCTCAGGTGCTGTGTGTGCTTGGCATGGTGCGAGATCCAGTTCAGCAGCCAGTGGTAGCTCTTATCCTTGCTGGGCACCTCCAAGGTGATCATGTAGTGGCGCCTGAAGGCCACCAGGCCGAACTGAGCCCCCTTCCGGGCTAGTGCCAGCGCTGTGCCCACCCCCACGAGGCCGAACCCAGCCCCAAAGTATGGGTTGTCCTTCAGGGCTAAGACAAAGTCAGAAAAGGGCATCGTGGGGGGTTAAGCAGCTTCTTTCAACAGCATTGTCTCTGATAAGGCAACAAACCTGTGTGAAAAGAGACAGAGGGTGAAAGCACTGGGCGATGGAGCAATGAGGGACGCACTGGACGGCCCACAGCTGCCCAGCCTTTACCAAAGGGTACGTTCTCAAAGCAAAACATTCCTTGGTGCCCTTGGATTCACCCATATCCACCTTCCCTTAGAGATCACAATCCCCACCTCAATACAGAAAAAACCTTTAAAATGAAGCACTCCACACAACAAAAATCACTGGGGACAGCAGAGAGCCAAGGAGCTCCAGCATTTCAGTGCTGCTCTGCTGTGGGCTCGCTGACCAGGTAGGCAACACCCCCAGGGAAGGGGCCGGGGGTATTTCTCAGCAGGCT